TCTCAAAGCATAGTATCAGTTCGTGAATTTATCTTTACTGAATACAATCTCAATGTGCAGTTAAGCAGTCAATGAAGTTTTTTGAACGTGAATCTGTCAAGGGAATCAGTGATGGAGCTTCGGCATTATTAGTGGCTGGTGAAGAGGCTGTTTCGAAATATGGTCTTAAGCCGTTGGCTCGAGTTGTGGCTTGGAAAGCAGTGGGTGTTGATCCAAACATGATGGGTATTGGACCTGCACCTGCAATTCGATCTGTCCTCAAGAAATCCGGACTTACACTGCAAGATATCGATCTCATCGAGGTTTTATCTCACCTTAACCACACTTCTTTACATTCGTCAGCAAAAATGTTCTTCTTTATTTCAAATTTCAAACGGTCAATATTTCAAACGGTTTATTTCAAACGGTCAATATTCTTTCAGATAGTACCAACATTGTCTATTCGTATGCGTTCGAATAACCTAAAATTGCATAGACACTTATTCAGTTAGATTCAACCGTCGGATTGCAATCATAAATTAAGTGCAATTATTATAACAATGAGTATTGTTTCAATAATACCTATTTTAACAACACCCATTACCCATTTTGGGTAATTTGGAGGTATCAAAGGGTAATGGAGGGGGTCGGGAAATTTGTATTTCGTACAGTTGTTATTTTATGAGAGAACGTCATTATGATGATGTTTTATAACTCGGATATGTAAATGCGGTTAGTTGACGGCAACACTTTTTATGCTCCTATTTCGTCCGAGCTTAACAGGATTTTCATTCGTTTTAACAGAGTTTTCATTCTTTTCTTTGCTGCTATAATCACTCTCATAGCTTTTATCACCAAAAGTATTCTCTTTTGCTAATTTCTCATTCATTTCACTCAACAATCAAAGTCAAATTCTCATTCTATCAAATACACTCTATAATTGACCATTTGATTGTCGATTGTTGTTGAGAAATACTATTTTATTGCTGTATTGTTGATTTCGGCTGTCAACACTCGTCAACGTATCCAGTAAATAATATATGCTACAGAATAAGAAATCGATTCGAACTGTGAAGTGAGATGAAACGAAGTGAATGAGAAAAACTCATCAAGAGAACGATATTCACGCACAATAGCTATGAGAGTGAATAGAACACGTCTGAAAAGAATGAGAATCCATCTGAATCAGTTTGAAGTGAGCGTGTCATAGACAATAACTTTTCATGCAATCATAATCGATTGCAATAATGAGCAACACAGCGATATAACAAGTAGGCCTAGCCATGTCGAATACCTATGGTATTCGACATGCCTAGGCCTACCTGTTCTTGTATCAAGGGGGGGGGGATGGTAACGGCGGCCTACCAGATCATCAATAGGAATAACAGAGCACTGTACTAAGTGTAAAAAAACCTGACCGATTTGCAATCGAATTTGCACGTAATGGTTGTATTCTACCGCTGTGATGTGAACGGAAATTTGATTGTTAATGGGTATTGAAGGTGAATGAAGCGTTTGCACCGCAAGCACTGGCTGTTCAACGAGAACTGGATTTGGATGAGAAGAAGCTGAATGTGAGCGGAGGTGCGATATCATTGGGACATCCGTTGGCTGCATCCGGCGCCAGAATCTCAACGCATCTCATTCATGAAATGAAGTTGCTTTATTTCTTCGTTGTTACTATCTCCTTTAGCATATCGCTCTCAAAATGTTTAGTAGGCAATCTGCTTAACAGTGTAACAAGAGTGGTGCGGGCGATTTCGGTGATCGGCAAATTTCGGGGATTTTCACCCGAAAATCTCCGACTTCCCTCGTCCCCGACTTTTTTCCGTCTTCGGACCACTCTACTATACACGTATACAATCCGCTTTCGTTTCAGTGAACAGAAAAGAATATTCGATTAAGAGTGAATCGAAGTGATAATAAAATAGAATCTCCGTTAAAAAATGGGTGCTAGAAATAAAATTGTTATCTTGCTTGAACATGTTCATTGCGATTAGATGAAGTGAATGAAATGCAATGAAATTTCAGACGACGTTCGGTGAAATATTCAATCGGATCAGCGTGTATTGGAGGTGGCCAAGGGATAGCGATTCTTTTCGAGAACATTGATTAAGAAGCTGATGATCGAAATATTTTTAAAAAAAAAGAGCGATCTTCGGGCAAATGATATCCACTGTTCATTCAATAATGCAATTTCATTATCGAATTTATTCATATATCATTCTTTTAATCGCTTTTATTTGACATCGCTCTGCACAGATTCAATCGTCATTATAGCGCTTAAAATTCAGTTTGATGGAATTTATGAAGCGATTTAACCATTCATTAATTTATTATATCATTTGCTGTGTTTATTTATTCGTTCATCTATTGTATGGAATGATTTCGTTGATGTGCTTCGTGGTATACATACACAATGAAATGTTTTTTTCTGAATTTTGTTCCGATCCATCATGATTTTACCATATTTCGTTAGTGATTTTTGTTGCAGTTTTGACATCGTATCAGAATTTGTTCAGCAGTGATATTTGGAGCGTTTAGGCTCAAATCCTTTCAAGAGTGCACTTTACATTAGAGTTGGACTTAACACTCTTGACAGCGTATAACCATACACAATTGACGCACAACAATTTTAGGTCTTCCGTATGATTTCTTTCCCAGATTTGTACTCACACAAACAGACACCTCGTCTACACTTGAAAGCAGTTATGCTGATCATGCAATGTTCACTCATCACAACGTATGGAAAACTGAAATAGGAAACTGCCTAATTTAACTGCGATAAATCCATCGAAATTTTCGTAATATCGTATTGTGGAAATCTTATAGTGATTCCGTAATATGGTGATTCCAGAACGCAAGAAAAAGAACGGAACTAATTCATCAGGTTATTGATAGTGTGAAGACGACTAAAGTCACGTCGTCTCTCAAAGTGTTATTGATCTCAATTCAGAAGATAACTAGGTAATTTTCTCAAATGAGACTTAACAAACCTTAACATTATAGCTCACAATAAAATTACATATACACAAGTCTTTGCTTGGCTACCAAGTATTTAACAAATCGATCATTATATCAAACGAGAGAATTTGCAAAATGATATTTTCGCGTTTCACGTGCTTATTAATTTTTTTGCCGTCATTAAAAGTATGAGCTATGAAATTTACATGTGAGCAGAAATTAACTAAAAAACATGAAACAAATTTGAATTTGGGAAAAAAGAT